TGGTTTTTTCTTATTTCTATAAAAAATATATATATATATATATATATATATATATATATATATATATATATATATAGCTTGGCCATCTCTAAAGCTCACTAGATTTTGTTGTACATCTTTAGACATGACAATATGGTGCCTGCAAAATCTGTCTAAAACCAGTCTAAAAGTGTCCTTGTTGTGGGGTGCCTTTATACAAAAACATCTGTCTGGCAGCAAGACAACCTTCTGTCAAACATCAATCTTCTTTTTTGTTTTCTACCTTTTTTTCCACTGGTGTCCTCTCTCATGAACTCCTTTTGTCCCTCTGCTTCTCAGATCGTCAGGTGTTCCTGGCCACCTGGAAAGACATTCCAAATGACAACGAGGCACAGTTTCAAATCAAAGATATCCACCTCAACTCAGGTAACAGGAATAAATATGTGCTGTGCATGAGTGAATTGGGTAAAGTGTGTGGAGGTAGATGGGAATGAATGAAATGAAGATAATGAAACAAATAAGCAAAGATAGGATGGAGGAAAGTGCTCTACCCTTATCGGTGCTTTGTATAATATTGACTGTCACACGCTCAATCTTACAAAAGAACACACTGTCCTGTTGAGGTGTGTCTCTGAAGAGCAGTGCTGATCCGGTGGCATGTCTGGGTGTAATTACCTCGAGGCAGGTTTTTAGGGAATGATCCTCTTCTGCATGACTGTTTGTATAAAATAACAGTGAATCACACAGTCATGAACATGCACACACACTCTTGGTGATATTGCTAATGAATGCACAGTGGGTGTCTTCAGTACTCTTATTTTGACTCTCCCTCTTCTCTCTATGAGGCTTGGTTTTTAATATGTGTTTGCTGCATTGTTATATATACATTTCCTGTTCTAAAGCAAAATATTTCATTGTTAGCAAAGATTTGAGCTAGCAATTAAATGAATATGATGAGAAAGAAAGTCAGAGCAACACAAAATATAGCAGAATATGCATCCACCCGAGTCCTAGAGAATTTAATTATTAATATATTATACAATTATAATTATTTTTCCTCTGAGTTAATCAGCATATGCAGCTGTTTTCATCAGAAAATGCCCATTTATTGTGTTATTCCACCATGTTGTGGCACTTTTCATGAATCATGTACAAATTGCTGTACCATTACTTTTCTTTAAAGCATTAAAGGCACAAATCCCATGTTCTTTTAAGAGGAAACCACTAGATGTTGCATAAACTATTATCTAATATAAAATTAATTTCATCAAATACATCTAGCCCTTACTGAGTGCTTCATTTAGGATAAATCTGCACCATGTGCCCAAGTATCCTCTATCACATCTTATTGTCTATGTGATGAATGTGATTTCATATGTGATGTTTGATTTTCCTGTATTTTTTCCTGTTTGCTCATCTCTGCACTCACCTTCGATGATGACAACACAATGCAGGAAATGGAGGTTGGGTGATCAAATTGCTGTACCATTACTTTTCTTTAAAGCATTAAAGGCACAAATCCCATGTTCTTTTAAGAGGAAACCACTAGATGTTGCATAAACTATTATCTAATATAAAATTAATTTCATCAAATACATCTAGCCCTTACTGAGTGCTTCATTTAGGATAAATCTGCACCATGTGCCCAAGTATCATCTATCACATCTTATTGTCTATGTGATGAATGTGATTTCATATGTGATGTTTGATTTTCCTGTATTTTTTCCTGTTTGCTCATCTCTGCACTCACCTTCGATGATGACAACACAATGCAGGAAATGGAGGTTGGGTGATTTTTCCCCCCCAAAATAATCTTAACTTAAACTAAACATCTTACCTTTTACCTCTTGCTGCCTTTAAATAAACATAATTCTTTCGTTTACTTCCTTCTATTAACAGTAAAGTTCACCGAAACAAAGCATGTCTGTAATAGTGAAGCATAATAATAAATATCACAACAATGTGACTTCATATAAGAGCAACTGTTTTGAAGGATCAAGCAAACCACAGTATAAGGAAATGTGCAGAAAATTAGTTTTATTTTGTAGTCCTTTGTCATAATAGAAAAGCTTGACATTATAGGAAGACACAGAGGTTGTGTGCACAGAACTGTTTTCCAGATTTCAGTCCAGGAAAAATCTAATTGAATAGCCTTCATAAAAGGAGTTGCTCTTCAGCAGAAACCCGTCGATTCACGGCATGTGCTTTTAATGTGCACAAGACTTGCTCTCCTATACACACACCAGTGCTTCCTGCAGTGCTTTTAACTGGAGGCACTCCACCGCTGCTGAATCTATAAATCTGCTGTTAAATCTACACTGCCACTGCAAAATTATATTTTAATTTGAAATGTGAGCTGGCGGTCTGAATTGAATGTGAGGAGATTAGACAGAGTGCTGCAAAATTATAGCAAGAAAACAAATGTTTTCCGTGACTGCATGCAAAAACAAATGTATGACTCGACCAGTGTTGATTCTCTAGTACATGACTCACTCCTTTTAAAGGGGTCATATGATGCTATTTTAAAGATCATTATTTGGTGTAACCGAATATGTTGACATGCTTTAATGTTCAAAAATTATTTTTCAAATACTGTACATTATTGTAGGTCCTCTATGCCCCCCTCTTTTGACAAGCGCAGTCTGCTCTGATTGGCCAGCTGACCGACCCAGTGCATTGTGATTGTCCGAACACCACAAGCACGCGTCAGAAATGTAACACCCCTTACCATAATTGCGAGCTTCAGCTTTCAAAGTAAATATCAAGACATTTAATAATGTCATTAGTTTTACCATCAGTTCAAGCCCGAAAGTGCAACAGAGTCGCCAGACAGACACAGTGATGATGCAGTACACAAGCCGCGGTTAAGACAGCTGATGTGCTATGATTTCTGACAGGCAGTTCACTCTCCTGTGATGTGACCCTGTTCCCCTCACACACACACACACACACACGACGCGTTACTCTGCGCTGCGCAAAACTCCGCATTTGAACAGTCAATAGCAAATACTTAAACTAATAACAAAACATACTTACAGTAGCTGATTCAGAAGTGCCAGATTGTCATAGCAAAGTCGGCATTGACCCTTTTTTTTAGCCTTTGTGCACAGCCAGCCTTGTACTCTTCTAGGTTAAAAAACTCGTCCATAAAATGCGTTGCACAAATTTGAACATCTGGGTTGTGCTGTTCTGTTGTAAATAAATCTTAACCAATGATTCCTAATTGCATCTACTTTCGGAAGCCCAAATAAAGTGCTTTTGCTTTCACACTGAAACACAGCGTCTCCCTGACATGCTGCATCAACACTACTGCTGTTCCTGAAACCACGCCTTCTTTCTTTGCATGCACATTTGGGCAGCATTATGCTAATATTTCCACAGTGACGTAGATATGTGGGGGCGTGTTAGAACGAGGCGTTTTAGGTAGGCGTGGTTGACTCTTAACTGTTATAAAGAATATCTTTTTGGATTTGAGACTTTAGTCTTTGCAACCTTACAGATCTTCTTTATGCACCAAGAGCTTGTGACACTCCAAAGAGAAAGGAAAACTTGAAATCGCATCATATGACCCCTTTAATGAATTGTTCAAAACTATTATATAAAATTCCATCAAATCTTTCATTGAATAAACTAAATTTGTCATAAATTGACTTAACACATCTGTATGGGTCTGTTAATCTTCCATCTCTTTCCTCACATCTGAACAGCCACTTTAATAAGAGGCAGAACTGTTATTCCCAGCTCAGACGCACGGTCCATGTATCATGGTTGTTGTTTTTTCTTGGCTGTTGTTCTAGCATATAAACAGTATCTGTCTGAAAGGACAGACAAATGCGGCTGTGTGGCTATACTGTGAACTATTGTGATGTTGTTGTTTTTTTTTTCTAAATATCTAGCAATGTTCCCATTAGCTACAAAGCTCTACTATTTGTCACTGTTCGTCGTCCCTATAGCAACAAGGCATCCAACGGCATGGCCCAGTTCCCCTTTAAATGTTGCGAGCGTCTGATGGCAGGGATCTGTTAAAGCATTTCTTCACAAACCTTCGTGCAGCACCCCGCTGCTTCCAGTCTTCCTGTCATCCCATCATCTCATCTGTTTTTGATTACATTCTTCCCCATTGTCGCAACCCACTGTTATATCTCTAAGTCTTAGAGTCACACCATCCATTCTTCCTTAATTCTGTGGTTCATGCTCACCCACCCACCTGTGCAGTATCTCTCTCTTTCACTTCATCTCTCGAGTCAAATTATAGAACAATGCAACTGTTAATAAAACACCTCTGCATACAGGAAACTGATGCCACATTGCAAGTCAGCACCAATGTCATCACGTCTATGTTTGTGCACCCACCACATTCTGCATGAAGCTAAGACAAAACCCTCCAAATCTGATGGAACTAATGAGAGCTTGAAGTGGAGTAGGCTTGCATTTGATTGATAAGGACATGCCCACTCATTCTTAGATGTTCTCAGCATATTCATTCAGCTAATTTATCTGTCTAAATCTTACTGATGACGAGTAGAATGATCTTTAATGAGCACTTTACAGTGTTCCCTAAGCTTTATATTGATTTTTACTTTTATAAATCTATGTTCAGCATATTGCATATTCATTTTAATTAAGTTTTTTATTAATGTTTAACATTTTATCATTTTAATATATACTACCATTCAGTAAGAAAAAAAAATCACTGATTCCACAAAAAATATTAAACAGCTCAACTGTTTTCGTCACTGATAATAAGAAATATTTATTGAGGAGCAAATAAGCATATTAGAATGATTTCTGAAGGATCATGTGGCACTGAAGACTGGAGTAATGACCATCACAGGAATATATTGCATTTTAAAATATATTGAAATAGAAAATAGTTTTTTTTTTAATTGTAAAATTTCATAGTATTAATATCACTGTATATTAAAAATATTTCCGACCCCAAACTTTTAAAGAAACATTTAGTTTGTAATAAACTGCAATATACGTAATTTTAATGATTTTATTATATATAGTCATACACCTCTATATAAATCAGTATATGTTAATTGAATCCACCAATATATTCTGATTGACTGTGATTCTATTCTATTATCAAGCATTTTTACCTTGAACAAACATATTCAAATACTTGTCATTGGAAACGTTCCATCATCTTTAGTGGACACAGTATTAGGAATCTCAAACATCGTGTGTAGACACTAATCTTCCTTTTGACTAATGGGAGCCTCACAGTTGCTGTGGAAAGCTGCAGGGTGATCTCATAGAAGCCCAGAGAGAACTCTTGGGTATGGGAGAGATAAATTGTGCCATTGATCTCTTTCCCTTTCGCACTTACGATGTCGTATTGCTCAGTACCCACAGGCTTTCTGATTATTCTCTGTATGATTGGTCCATGAGAAGCCTCAAGTCTGCTGCAGCGCTCACTTGACAAAATAGGAAGCAGGTGTTGCAGTAGATGGAGGTCTCCACTCATGTCAACCTCTCCAAGCAAAGTTGCACCACTGACATTAGTCTGCATTTGTTTGTCTATTACTCTGTTAGTGCCATATGAGATCCTTTTAGGAGGAACACAGCAAGTAAACACAGCTTGCTTATGAATTTGCTACAGGTGGTTAGTTGAAATTGTTTCTCAATTTCATGAATTTTCAGCAGCCATTACTCCAGTCTTCAGTGTCACATGATCCTTTAGAAGTCATTCTAATATGCTCATTAGGTGCTCAAGAAACATCAGTGTTGTAAACAGTTGTGCTTCTTAATATTTTTGTGGAAACCATTATGCGTTTTTTTTTAAGGTTTCTTTGAAGTTCAAAAAAACAGCATTTATTTGAAATAGAAATATTTTATAACATTATAAATGTCTTTACGGTCACTTTTCTTACTGACCATAAATGTTTGAACAGTGGTGTACTATATATTTATATGATACATTTTATATATGCTTGGTGCAAGTACCGTTGTGCTTTCAGACTTGAAATTAGTGTAATAACTTTTTCTTCAACTAATAATACGGCAAAAATTGGAAGCGTTAGTCCTAGTCAAAGCTTGTTTTGGTCTTCATGGCAGTGTTAGTAATTTTGTGTTTGTGTGGTTGCTCTTGGCAGAGTGAAGGAGATTCATATTAGTGTGTTGGCAGGCTTTCAGCATTACTAGTGTTTATTAGTTTCTCTCACATTCTTTTTCTTCGCTTTGCAATGTCTCAATTTTCTTAGCATGCCCTCAAATCTTCACTTCTTAACAATTTTGTGAAATTTAAATTGATGTTTGATATTTGCCAGCGTGTCTGTAATTTATTCTAATCTCTCTTTCTCGGTTTCTTTCCGCAGCTGTCAATAAAATGCAGAGCGCCGGAGGTGTGTCAGTTTGTGTACCAGTGCTATGAGTTGGTGCTGAAGAACTGAAGTGGGGGAAGCCAACAGGAAACTGCAGTTCCCAGGCATCGTTTGGGTGGCTGAAACTTGATTGGACCAGTCAGAGAAAGAACCCCCGCTGGCTTGCATTACCCTCAGACTGTGCTTTCAGCATTGACGGAATCCCAAGGAATTTTTCTTCATTATTTCGTCCATTCCCAACACCCTTCTTTATCCCTCCTGCAATCCTTAAAATATTACAATTACGGTCTCTCTTCTAAAATACAACACACAAAATATAAAGATATCATCTTTATTTTATACGTGCAGGTGTTCTTCTCAGCAAATTTCATTGCCTTTACTACATGATTGCTACAGTTTATCCTGAGTGATTTTTTTCCCCCTCATGGAGGTCAAGCATCATGCGCAGAAGATCTCAAGAGTTTTAGACCAGCCTGTATTCGTCATCCATCCAGTTGTAGGAAGGGTGGGTTTACTACAGTTGAGAGAAACCTTTCAACACTGCGGTTTTTAATTTAGTCTTAATAATCAGACAGTGGGTCGCTGGGTTTGTATTCACACAAACAGTTGTGTGAATGCGTGAGGTTCAAATCTTTATTTATTAATTTTTTTCTGTATTATAAAGCTTTCCCCTGGTCTTTCCTCAGTAATTTAGGTCTCCCACAATTTATTTTAAGGGAATGCTTTGTGTTTATCCAGAAGCACTACACAATTGCTGAGTAAACTTTTTTTTCTTTTTCTTCAAAATATCTCTGTATTTGCTGATGACTACGTTCGCAGTCATGTTTTGCTATTAAGCTGGGTTTATTGTTAGTTACTACTGTCTTTTGTGTGCAGTGTATCAGCTTTGTGTTTGTGTGTCTGAGTTGAAGATGTAACCTGCTGCATGTTCTCTTCCTCCTGGCAATCTTCCCTGTCCTCACTTATTTCCCCGTTTGTCGATTTACATGCCCACATATTCAGGGGGGTTGTCGATTTCGTGTGTGTGTTTTGTTGCAAGCAAGATAAACTGTTGGATCTGTGAGCGAGACTCGACTCCTAAGATCATCCTGCAGAAAAGTAATACTTTATGGTATGAATATCTTTAAAATCACTCTGAACGCGATGCATCAGATGTCTCCTGCTTTGCAAAACAACTTGTTCACTGAACGTTTCTTCTCTCATTCTTTATGGGTCAGGGAGATGTGGTTAAACTTCTATGTCCATATGATGTTTAATTTTCTTTTTAAACCATGTTGACAAGGTGGACAGACCTCTCTCAAGCTTAATGTAAAATACCACCAGACAAACACTGCTGACCTGATACACAATGCAGTGTGTGTACACTTAGAAGTTCTCAAATAACAATGATTATTATTTTTCTTTTAATCATAGTTTGTTGATTCTGTATGCGTTATATACTGTGGGTTTAGTCATAGGGGTGACTACAAGGAGATGTCCAGTAAAGACGTTTGCTTTACTTTTTGTTGAATTCTGTCATGAATGCAGCATCTGTTATAGAAATTAAAAAAGTATATTACCCATTGATTTAAATTGTAATTATTTCAGCCTGGTTTTAAGTAAAAAAACAAAAAAAAACATTAAAAGTCTTAAACCCTTGGCTTAAATAACATGGACTGTCCAAAAAGTGTTTCAGAAATGTGTAATCCCTCTGCAAAATGTATGCAAGTCATTATATTTTAATACTTTTGAGTACTGACCACTCTTGTCGGCTTCAGATACAGTCCTAACACCTTGTATATTGTTTTATTCATTCATACTCTTAGGCAATATGACTCATTTAACTAATTTAAACTAGACTTCCAAATATCACCTTTTTGTAGTAAATGTGAAATCCTTTCGGGCACAAGTTGAACCTGCTTCTCATCTAATGACATTTTCTCGAGTGAAACTAATAGGCTACCTTACTGGGGTTGCAAAGGTTTCAGGAAATGCCATTTATTATGGTTTGCAGGCATGCATCATCCAGTCCTTCGCTTAAACCGGAAGTGAATACTCATAATTGGTTGTGTGGTGTAGTTGTGTAGTGTTTTACCAATATTTCTCTTTTGTTTGGTTGGTTGTTTTTTCCCCTGTTCTGTTTAGAAGCTATGATGGGCAGGATCATATCCAATTTTATTCAATACAGTTCGAATCCTTGCTGAGCTCATGTTTAAGCACAATTTCCTCTTTGTTGTGTTGACTGTCTTGTGGTGATGAAATTACAGGGTAATGTAGAATATTAAAGGAGATGGGGGGCCCGCATGTGTATCCGACCACCAGCATGGCAATTGAAAGCTATTTAGATGTTACAGCATTCATGATTGATGTTTTGTAGAGTTGTGTGTGTACTGACAATCTGAGATACGTCTCCCAGTCCCGATTATTTGTCAGGTTTAAGAATGGCCTGAAGCAGATAGAGGGAGAAAAATCACCATTTTAAATGTGGACTGAGAGGACAAAAACCCAGAGAAATGAATCTTTCTTGTGTAAATCAAATTGGACTAACGGATGAATTTATTCCAGGTTTGTAATCCAAATATCATTAGATTACAGGCCATGCTATTTTGATACCCAGCACTTCTATCATCCAAATGGGCATGGGGAAATTAAAAGCTCTAGAGCAGTGGTCTCCAACTCAATTCCTGGAGGGCCACAACTCTGCAGAGTGTAGCTCCAACCAGCTCCAAATGACACCTGCTTGGAAGTTTCTAGTAATCCTGAAGACCTTGATTAGCTGGATCAGGTGTGTTTTTACTAGGGTTGGAGCTAAACTGTGCAGAGCAGTGGCCCTCCAGGAATTGAGTTGGAGACCAATGTGACTATATTCCTGCAGATGGCCATTAATTAAGAGCAGATTTGAATCGCACTACATTATGTACCTACTCTATTGTGTCTAAATTTATGCATTTTTCTAGCGAACATTAGTGGATGTGTGAGATTTTCAAAAGCGGTTTTTGAACCTCTTGAGGATGGAGCGGGTTACTCTGGCAATAGCGGGGAGCGGCAATGGAAAAATCCGGAGTGGAATTACAGCGTAGTGATTACAGAACGCTTGGAATGGAATGGGAAATCTCTTCAGCTCCGCGCCGCTCAAACAAGCAGTTCCAGACCGGCTTTCAGTTATTTATTTATATAGATTTTTTTCGTGTGGCTTGACTATGGTAACTTAATTTTTTTCTTTAATCTTTAGTTACTCGATATGTTTTACTTAAACGTTACACAGCAGTTTGATAAGAAAATAACAATTGCACAGTTGTACTGAATATCAATACTTTAGCTTGTTTACTAAACAAGCAACACTCATCATTCCTGTTTGAGCTAGATAGTCGAAAGTTACCTTACATTTACACCTTGTATTCCTCCCATAATGCAAGTAATTTCTGGATATGACATACGAGTGACCTTTTAGAGCTGACTATGGCCAGTAAACATTAGCGCAAGCCTAATGCGCGCGCGCGGAGGAGCAGCACACAGGAGCAAGTGGTGACTGCTTCACATGTAGCTTCCACGACAACGAGAGGTCTGTGCGGATACAGTCCGCCGACAGTCTCGCGGAGCTTAACGATGGACCTTTGCGCAGACTGCATTTGGCTAGCGGTGAGGTGCACGTTGAAGCGAGCACTCTTGAGCTCGCGCCGCACGCACTGCTGAGGTGATGAGGGAAGGTATGAGAGGTTACGAGGAGAAAGGGTCAATGGTAACCTCGAGATCGAAGAGCACACGTTATCCCGAGAGCTGCCAGATGGATGCTGTTGGAAAATGACGGGTTTCGAGCTCCAGAGCTGCGTGTAGGAATACTGTGGGCTGGAGCGTTGAGGACTGTTCCCCAATGGAATGCAGAAAAGACAGCGCAACTGCCGCAGTGAATGAAGTTGGTTTGTTGATCCAGTCATTAACGGATAATACTATCAGTATACTTCACCAAAAGAGATAACGAGATGTATCAGAAGACAGTAGACCTGTGAACAAACTCTTGTTTATTTGAACATCCACGAAAAGGCGCACGGTCACATTTCATATTCTTGTTTTGGTTTGTTGAGCAGTTCTCCAAGCGTCGTGATCGGTAGCGGTTGGCAGCAGTCCTGATCCGCGCGGGATGGTCGAGACGCTGAGCATCGCCGTCATCGGAGCGCCTGGAGTCGGGAAAACTTCTATCATCCGTCAGTTTATTTACAATGACTTCTCCGAGACTTACACCCCCACCCAAACGCGATACGTGTACAGACCCTCGGTCATTCTTAACGGTGTTATGTACGACCTGAAGATTTTGGATGTCCCGCCAATTTCCTCCTTTCCTTCAAGCCCGAGTCAGGTAACGGTAGGCTACAGTAGAACTGTAAAGCGCTCATGCGTGCATGTTGTTGCAGAGTACAAAAAAAAGCTATATACGTTATTTAAAGCACATAAATTCTATATAACAGATTAAAAAATATATAACAGATTTAAAATGTTACGTATTTTACTGGAAAAGTAGGCTACATGTATTGTTGAATATATATATAGATTTTAAACGTAAGTTATATGGTCATTTGAAACATTTTCACACCCAAAACAAATTCATTTTACAGTATCTACTATCATGGCCGAATGCAGGGTTTGAACATTAGTGAAGTCTGGGGTGGGGTTAAGAATTGTGCTATAATAACCCTTACAAATACAACTAATTATATACACTTAACACTTTAAAAGAGACAGACATGTAGATGTTTGTGAAAGATGTTTTATCTGTTTTGGAGGGATGAACACTGTTAAATTATACCATATTTATTACATCAAAATGTGTTAATAGCCTACTTTACTATAGGTAAGGGTGCATAATTGAATCAGTTGTTTATTATTCATGCAGCAATACATAATGCTGTTATTGTTTTCATTAATAACCATTGCTATATTGATGATAACTTTGTCTAGTGCTCTTTTGAATGTTTTTAGCATGCCATTGTGAAAATTTAACTATAGGGGAGAGCGGGGTAAGTTGTCACATGGGTAAGTTGTCACACTGTTCATAACTCCAACACTAGAGGCTCTATCTCAAAAATCAAATAGCCACTTTGTGTGACTTCTTCTTCTATAATCAACTTCCTGTTAGGGAAGGTTAGGTCAAGATCGCTCTAATCTGAGGTTAGCACAATTTTCTTATTTTTTGGCTTAAAAAGTAAAAAAATTGCACTTTAAATTTTATGCAAAACAACTTTGTTAGGTATGAATGTTAAAAATTATTATTTTGCACAAAATAGAGGAGACAATAACGTGTCTTTTGATATTTTAGCTGACGTGCTATGTTGAGCTATCCTTGAGATTTAGCCAACATTAGCACACGTCAGTTTGGGGCAAGTTGTCTCAATGACTTTGGGGCAAGTCGTCACATGTGACAACTTGCCCCAGTACAAATAAACACATAGAACATGCTCAAAAAACATTGTGATATTGTAATTTATTTGTAATTGCAATAAGGTTTTTGAAGAAAGGAAGGAAAGGCAGGAATTAAGGAAGGAAGGAAGATGGTTCGAAATTATCAACGAAAGACAGAGCATGGCAGTACACCACCTGACATAATGTTAAAGGCAGTCAGGCAGGTAAAGTTGCAGAACAAATCAATCAGAAGTACAACGAAGGATTTTGACATAAATTACCGTACTCTGACTCGGTATTGTCAAAAGATTACCAGAGAAGAAATTGAAAGTCAGACAGCCATGCCAACAACAATGGTTGGTTATACAACGCCACGGAAGATTTTTTTACCTGATTTGGAAAAGCAGCTTGTTGAGTATATTACTAGGTCAGCTGACATTTATTTTGGTCTGTCACCAAGTGAGGTCAGAAAGCTTGCCTACCAGTTTGCTGTGGCACACCAGCTGAAGTTTGCGCCTTTGTGGGCAGAAAAAGAAAAGGCCAGCAAAGAGTGGTTTACAGGCTTCTTAAAGCGGCATACAACGCTGTCACTGAGAAAGCCAGAGGCAACTAGCCTTGCCAGGGCAAGTAGCTTCAACAGAGAGAATGTTAATGCTTTCTTTGACAACTTAGAGAAAGTGTTACGCAAATATGAGTTTGGACCAGGAGACATTTGAAATGTTGATGAAACTGGGGTCACCACTGTACATAAACCAGACAAAGTGTTGGCCAGACGTGGATTCAAACAAGTAGGGTCACTGACCTCTGCTGAAAGGAGAACCCTTGTCACACTGGCCTGTGCTGTCTCAGCCACAGGGAGTAGTATACCTCCATACTTTATTTTCCCCCGTGTCAACTTCCGCGATCATTTCCTGATCAATGGGCCACCTGGCAGCAAAGGAGGGGCAAATTCCTCTGGATGGATGAAAGACACGCACTTTGTTGACTTCCTGCAACATTTCAGTGAACATACAAAGTGCTCAAAGGAGAAGCCCTGTTTACTCCTTTTGGACAACCACGAGTCTCATCTGTCCATTGATGGACTCAATTATGCCAAAGAAAACGGCATAATCATGCTGTCATTCCCACCCCACTGCTCACATCGGCTCCAACCATTAGACAGGTCTGTCTACGGGCCACTAAAGAGGCACATCAACAGCGCGTGTGATGCCTGGATGTGGAACAACCCTGGGAAGACAATGTCAATTTATGACATTCCTGAGATTGTGGCAGTTGCCTATCCTCTGGCTGCAACCCCCTTGAACATTCAGGCTGGCTTTAGGGTGGCTGGGTTTCAACCTTACAACAGAGATGTATTTCTGGAAACCGAGTTTGCACCATCCTACGTCACAGATCGCCCCATTCAGAACCCTGCCCTGCCAGGCCCCAGCACCAACTCTGCCCCGCCAGGCCCCAGCACCAACTCTGCCCCGCCAGGTCCCAGCACCAACTCTGATCTGCCAGGCCCCAGCACCAACTCTGCCCTGCCAGGCCCCAGCACCAACTCTGCCCTGCCAGGCCCCAGCACCAACTCTGCCCTGCCAGGCCCCAGCACCAACTCTGCCCTGCCAGGCCCCAGCACCAACTCTGCCCTGCCAGGCCCCAGCACCAACTCTGCCCTGCCAGGCCCCAGCACCAACTCTGCCCTGCCAGGCCCCAGCACCAACTCTGCTCTGCCTAGCATGCCCAGTTATGCTTCTGCTATCAGCAGCTCACCCTTACCCAGCAATGCTATTGCTGACAGCGGGCTACCAACTTCAGAGGACATCCGGCCATATCCAAAAATCTGGACCTACGAAGAACAAGGCAGCTAAAAGAAGAAAAATCATACAAGAGTCATCATCAGATGATGAAGAGTACTTCTGCCTCGTCTGTGTGAAGCCATTTTCAAACAGTCACTAAAAGAGACCTGGGTAAAATGTGTAAAATGCAACAAATGGGCCCATGATGCTTGCACCTCAGGCCAGGCAATTTATGTGTGCCAGAATTGTGACTCTGAGTCTGATTAGTCAGATACAGGGCATCTGTTTTGTTCCGAGGTTAAACATGTTAAGTTAAGCGAGTTATCTGCAGCATTCCATTCAGTTATCATGGATCTATGTGCAAGCCAGAGAATGTTTGAGTTTAAAGTTCAAAGTAAAGTGGTCTTGCCACTTAATGTGTTTTGATTGAAATGTGTATTGTTTGGATTGAAATAATTGTTTTTCCAAATTCTCTAGGCATGATTGTTTATAAGCCCCAACTCTGCCCCGCCAGGCCCCAGCACCAACTCTGCCCCGCCAGGTCCCAGCACCAACTCTGATCTGCCAGGCCCCAGCACCAACTCTGCCCTGCCAGGCCCCAGCACCAACTCTGCTCTGCCTAGCATGCCCAGTTATGCTTCTGCTATCAGCAGCTCACCCTTACCCAGCAATGCTATTGCTGACAGCGGGCTACCAACTTCAGAGGACATCCGGCCATATCCAAAAATCTGGACCTACGAAGAACAAGGCAGCTAAAAGAAGAAAAATCATACAAGAGTCATCATCAGATGATGAAGAGTACTTCTGCCTCTCCTGAGTGAAGCCACCCCCACCTACAATCCCTGCCGGTACGAGACTCGAACCCGCAACCTTTGGGTTAGGAGTCCGATTCTCTAAGCATTAGGCCACGATTTCCCCATAATGGCAGCTAAAAGAAGAAAAATCATACAAGAGTCATCATCAGATGATGAAGAGTACTTCTGCCTCGTCTGTGTGAAGCCATTTTCAAACAGTCACTAAAAGAGACCTGGGTAAAATGTGTAAAATGCAACAAATGGGCCCATGATGCTTGCACCTCAGGCCAGGCAATTTATGTGTGCCAGAATTGTGACTCTGAAGATGAGTTTGGTTAGTCAGATACAGGGCATCTGTTTTGTTCCGAGGTTAAACATGTTAAGTTAAGCGAGTTATCTTCGGCATTCCATTCAGTTATCATGGATCTATGTGCAAGCCAGAGAATGTTTGAGTTTAAAGTTCAAAGTAAAGTGGTCTTGCCACTTAATGTGTTTTGATTGAAATGTGTATTGTTTGGATTGAAATAATTGTTTTTCCAAATTCTCTAGGCATGATTGTTTATATTTCCAGTTCTGGTTTGAATTAAAAAATTAAAATCAATAATCACAATTAAGTAGTTCTTATTTTTAGATAATCTAGTGTGACAATTTACCCGCCGATGGGGCAAATTGTCACAAGTGCACATTCTCTATTCAACAGTCTACAACTCCGTAATGAGATAAGATATAAAAATTTAATGAATACAACATATGTGCCCAAGACTTCCTTCTTTCATTTGGTATGACATTTATACCATTGTGATGTATGGTGCTCAGTAGATGTTAGACAGTGTGAAAAGTGTGACAACTTACCCCGCTCTCCCCTACTGAATGAAATAGCATAGACTTCGTCATGGCTAGTGTTTGCATATTTCATTTCATTCTGTAACCTAATTGTTCTACAGAACTGTGTACAAGTGTTAAATGCTACTGTTCTCGATAGTGTTGATAAAGTTTCTGACAGATAATCTTATGAAGATTTTTGCGTTTGCCTTATGGAATGTCAGCAATAACCTGTCCGTGGGCATTTTTGATTAATGTCAGTTTAAGCACCGGCGAATCAATGTTGCCAGATATAGCTATGAAAACAAACAACCGAAAAATATTTAAAAATTTAAATATAAATTAGAGCCCTGCATTTGAGCCCGGGACCGACGAGCCCCGACTTTTTTACGTCCCTAGGGCCAGGCGTCTGGCCAATTTTCACGTCATAGTTCAGACGCGGGCCGGGCCTCTGGCCTGTTTTAGGCTTCTCCTTGTTTTTATATTTTAGACATCCATCAATTAGTGATGAAAAAAATTGCCTCGCTGGTGGAAACAACACAAAACTAGTGTTTTCTGAGTCG